AAATGGCTCCATCCGTGTTAAAATATATTTTAAAAAATTTACAAAACTAAACAGCCTACAGTATTTTTACAGTCTTTATTTTACAGTTATTATAAATGTTTATCAAAWAAAGTTTAATGTTAAAACTAATCGTGGATCCCTTTAAGTGGACTTTCTGGACATGCTCCTGGGAGACCAGGAAGTGTTTGTGTGCAACAATTAAAGGTGCCGTCATTAACTCCAACAAAGACCTGAGCAAAACAATCAGTTTACGTGAGAATCCTCGGGGGAGTCGCCGCCGGCCCCCCACCTCCTGACGGAGCCAATCAAGCCAAAACATGAAGGCATCCGACACAAACAGGGTTCTTCATTTGCTCTGGTCCRATCCGTCCACTGCAGGCTGGGATTAATGAGGCTGCTGCAGAACGGTTTGTTGTGCTCTTATCTTCAGGTGGAAGTGACCAAACTCGTTAGCTTGAGTCGCGGGGGGAGGTGGGGGGACGTTGGGCAATATCAGAAACTTCCAGACTAGAAGAAAACAATCTAACCAGGTGTTTCATCTACACAGTATACAGATGTTAAAGTAGACATAACATGCTTTAAAATCCTTTTTCCCATTTAAATCTTTCTGTTGAGTCTATATAAAGTGAAAAAAGGAAATTCCTCTGATTTGTACTGCCTACAAAGTTTTGGTTGTACAACATAAACGTAGCACAAAAGCCAGTCTGTTGAGGCTGTATATGGTTCTTCCACATTCTTCTGAGACCCTTGCATGGCAAACCCATAAAAGCTATCAAATTACAGGATTTCTTTTAATGTTTTGATGCTTCTAACACAAATTCTACATCATTAAATGGTTGTGGCTTTTCCTAGCTTTGGGTCAAAACAAACCACGAGGGCTCGGTTTAAAACAGTCATTTCGGTTAAAGAACCAGCTGTTATCCGACTAAGAGCTACCATTTTCCATACGTCCTCGAGCTAAATGAAGCGTCAAAGTGGGTTTTAGTCATGACACGTGGGCCAAGCAGAATTTAATTTTTTGTCTTGCGAAGTGGTGAACTGATGAAAAGATTTGAGTCAGCGGCTCGATATTAAACAGATGCATCGTCCTCACTGCATGGAAACTTGCAGATTATTTCCTAATTGTGAGTGCTTCATGCTAATGTTTGACATTTATCTGGACTTATTCATTATGAGCGTCACAAATTTAAGGTATATTCTGGATTTTGGATCATGGAGTTTATGTATAGTTAATATCTTACCCGYTGTAGATATATTTTCAWTGATTTTAGATTTTAATTTAAGTTCAAAGTCTGTTTTTTGTCATCATGGTAAWACTGTTATTCTGGCTAAAAAATATTAGCCCCGCCCACTTTTCTGCACACATTGATGTTACATGGGCTTTGTTTAATGTATGAAATAAACTAGAAAAATTAGTTTTGAACATTTATCAGTTTTATAACTTGCAACTGGATGAGCCTGCCTTATGCAGAATCCATCCTTAAAAGATCTGAACTATCCCTTTAGGTCAAACAGTTTCATTGTGGKTTTTTTCTGTCATTCTTGAGCTTCAGCTTGTGATTTCAGCACGCTCTGACTACACAACCGCGCTTTGTTTTCACATTGACAGGATCGTAAAAAAAAAATGAAGACACAGAAGAGCCTCTCAGCTTGTTGGGACACTCGTGTCTTCTTGTCTGTTTGCTCCAGGTCCTCTGGAATCAAAGCTTTAGTTGAACTGTGGCGGCAGTCAGGCTTTAGATGTGCCAAGTTCCAAACTTCAAACTGCACAAGATATCAGTTTCTGGGTTGATCCATATACATTTACAGCAAACTGTTCAAACTGTCATTAAAAAATCAGATATGGGTCACATTTGCAATGAAACAAACTGGATTTGCAGCTTGAATGTAGCCTTAATAACTGGGTTCATCAGGCTTACGAATATATATAACAGAGTATCATCAGCAAACAATGGAACCTTTGCTAATATAAGCTGAGGATGCATTTTAATCCTAAAAAGTGTATAAAATACACTCCTGATCAAAATCTTAAGACCAGTCAAAAAAGTGCCAGAATTTGCATTTTGCACTATTGGATCTTAAGAAGGTTCTAAGTAGAGCTTCACAATGTTAVAAGAAGAAATCAGTGCAAGAGACAAGAACTTTTGAGCAGGGAATTTTCTGAAAACTGCATTTATACTCAAACATGAATTTTTTCAGCTGATCAAAAGTTTAAGACCATGGTCTTTAAAAGCCAAAATCTGTGCAAAAATCTGGATTCCATGTCATTTTCTGTCAAGTCTTTACACTGTCAAGGCCTCCTGATGGCAAAAGTAAAAAAGCTCACTGACTTTGAACGTGGTAGGATTGTTGAGCTGCATAAGCAAGGCCTCTCACAACGTGCCATCGCTGCTGAAGTTGGACGCAGTAAGACAGTCATTTTGCATTTTTTAAATGATCCTGAGGGTTATGGAACAAAAAAGTCAAGTGGTAGACCCAAAAAAATTTCACCAGCTCTGAGCCGCAGGATCCGATTGGCTGTCCGTCAAGACACGGGACGATCCTCTACCCAAATTAAGGCCATTACTGGTGCTGACTGCAGCCCAGTAACCATCAGACCATCTGTGAGAGAAGGGCTTCAGAAACAAAAAACGTCTTCAAAGGCCACGTCTTCTTCAACACCACAAAATTGCCCGTTTGGACTTTACAAGGGTGCACCAAACATGGGACATTGAAAGGTGGAAGAAAGTTGTCTTCTCTGATGAGAAAAAATTTAACCTTGAYGGTCCTGATGGCTTCCAACGTTACTGGCATGACAAGGAGATCCCACCTGAGATGTTTTCTACACGGCACAGTGGTGGGGGCGCCATCATGATTTGGGGTGCGTTTTCCTTCAATGGARCAATGGAGCTTCAGGWTGTGCAGGGGCGTCAAACAGCAGCTGGCTATGTGGAGATGTTGCAGYGGGGATCCCTCATGACTGAGGGCTCTCGTCTGTGTGGTAATGATTGGGTTTTTCAACAGGACAATGCTGCAGTTCACAATGCCCGCCTGACAAAGGAGTTCTTCCAAGAGAATAACATCACTCTTTTGGACCATCCTGCATGTTCYCCAGATCTAAACCCAACTGAGAACATTTGGGGATGGATGGCAAGGGAAGTTTTACAAAAATGGACATCAGTTCCAGACAGTGGATGCCCTTCGTGAAGCCATCTTCAACACTTGGAGCAACGTTCCCACTAGCCTCCTGGAAACACTGGCATCAAGCATGCCTAAACCATTGTTTGAAGTCATCAACAAGAATGGTGGAGCTACTCATTACTGAGTCCTTTTTTTGACACTTTGATTTCTGTTTTGGGGGGTTTTCGAGGTTTTTTTGAGCTATGGTCTTAAACTTTTGATCAGCTGAAAAAAATCAGTTTGAGTGTAAATGCAGTTTTCAGACAATTCCCTGCTCAAAGGTTCTTGTCTCTTGCACTGATTTCTTCTTTTAACATTGTGAAGCTCTACTTAGAACCTTCTTAAGATCCAATAGTGCAAAATGCAAATTCTTGCACTTTTTTGACTGGTCTTAAGATTTTGATCAGGAGTRTATATTTAAAAAGGAATGAAAGCAAAGACTAAGGATCCCGCTAAAACCCACAGGTGTTCATTAGCCAGGCTCCCAGGTGCCACCCCGCTGAGAGCCCAACTGCTGCGATGGCAAAGTTTAAACACCTCAGTCCCACAGTGAGCGCTCTTTATTTATGCAGAGGAGGCACATGGAAAACAAACAAATCATCAGACAGGATCAGAGGCTTTTAGAAGAGTTCTAGTTCATCTGAGTCAGTCATGCTCTCATATCCTATTTTTTTTACATTTGGGATTATGTCCTTCTTCGTTTCTTATTTTGAAAATTTGCTTTCATCTCTTATCTTTCTCCCATTGTCTCCTAATTAGTTTTCAAATATATACAGTACCTATATCTGGGTGGGTAGGTCAGTTTAACAACGCTAACACGATTGAAGTTGTGCTAGCGTACAATGCTAATACTCCACATAACTAAATTAACATTGTTAGCCAACACACCAATCCACTGAAGTAAATCAACGGATACAGTTACTCCTTTTAGGACTGAAATTAAATTTGTCTTTGAGATTAATAAGATATCTTTATATTGTTTTTGAGCTGAATTGAGCAACAGAGTTGGCACCGTAAACCAACGTCATGAAACTGAGTTAGCATTGTTAGCTACGGCAACAAATGCCCATCTGGCGGGTTGCTAAATTACAATGCTAACATACTGAAAAAATACAAACTAATCTTCTGAAAAGACAATATGGCAACGAAAAAAGAAAAATAGGCACCTAATAATTTTAAATATAGTTTGTCTGAAAAATTATGAACATTTACTGCGCTGTATTTTACAACACATTGCTAACTAGCCAATTCATTAGCAAGCTGTTTAACTGTTAGCTAGCTATAGCTGATCATTAAAAAACAAAAAAAGTGAATGTAAGAATAGTCACACACATTTATTGTTTACAACTTATTGTACTTTGATTTTTTTATAGCACAAATACATAAACTACAAATGATTGGCAGGAATTTGTTTTCTTTAACATCAAAAATGAATTTCTCAACGAAACATTTCAGAATTTCATTAAGGAAACCATTTCATGAGAATTACTCCTCGGATTTTTTTTCAGTCGTCACCCTCAATTAGTTCATTATTAGGCACATGAGTTAAACGTACATCACAGGCCCCAACTACAAACTAAACTTTGACCTATAAAATATAGCAAAAAATAAGCAGAAATAGCGGGATGAWCTGATGGCCCCAGAGTGGTTTCCTGTGCAGTTACCTTTACTTGGCTTGTTAAAACTTCTGCTGCTCGAAAACGAAGGTAAGCGTCAGTAAAAAGCACAAATATTTCACCAAAAATAAACAAAAACAGTCATTATGTGCATAGAAATTGTTGGTGTAAAATCAAGTCCATTATATTTTTTCCTTCTATCTGTGCAGATCGATTGCACATTTATTGCTTTATTCTAAAATCAGTGAATAGAAACTGCATGTTTGCTCTTTTGTGGTCTTTAAAAACAATCTAAATCAATTGAAAACTCTTATAAATAACAAGAAATCACAAAACTTTGCAGAGTGTAAAATATAACTTGAGGATATTTTCTGTTTTATTGACTTGGTGAAATGGAGAGAACCTTTAAACCATGAGAAGCAGTCTTCACTATGGAAATATTGACTTTCCTTATAAAACTTGTCTTGGATTAATGAAAAGTCATTATGTGCTTGGCAAAACAATAACTCAGCACATTCAGGATTATTCAGTCCTGCGAAGTGTTAAATACACTGAGATACATCAGAATTCAGTCTGTTCAGCTGCAGCTCCATCCGAACATCACAGCTTCAGAAAAGAAGCTTTCACGAGGCCGGTGGTCCGTCACAGTACAAAAAAATGTTCATAAGTTTAGATATAAATCCGCTCCTTACCGTAAACAGAGCTTTCCTTTGTTTCATTTAGGATCATAGAGAAAAAAAACATTGTTCAAAACTTTGGCAAAGTTTCATGGCAGTCCTGGAAGTAGCTTTAAAGTTCTGGTCTKATCCGGTTTTCCCGTCAGTCTGAATCCTCTCCGGCGGTGGCGGCCTCCAAAGCGGCGAGCGCCTCCGCCACCATGGAGTCCGTGACGCTCTGCACCTCCTCCTGGTTGTTCCGGACCGCCGCGTCCGCCTCGCTCTTCGTCACGGAGATCCCGCTCTCCTCGGTGGAGGTGTCCGGCGTCTTGTTGGGCGTGAGTCCGTCCCTCGTGCCCCCCGAGGACAAGCTGGTGGTGCTGGTGTGGATGTCCACGGACAGGACGCTCCCCTCGTCCCCAGTGTCGCACGGGTACTCGGGCGTCCCTCCCACCCCCTCGTCTATTTCGTCCCCCGACAGCCCCTCGGTCTTGTTCCACCCGGGCCTCGGAGCCCCGGGCTCCTGCTCGTCGTAGCTCCTCTGATTACCGAGCTCCTCTAAGTTGGGGTAAACGGGAAGCTGACTGGGACTGATGTCGAGCCATCGCGGCCCGACGGCTTCCGGCTGGATGATGTAGAGCCCCGCCTCCGGAGGCGGGCCGCTGGCCTGCTGCTGCAGCTCCTTGGCCAGAGGCGGAACGGCGTGCAGCCTGTGGTTCACCTGGTTGTTGTCGAACTCCAGTTTGAGCGTGCTGTCGCTGTAGCCCAGGTTGTGGATGCCGTGCTTCTGCTTGTTGCTGCCGCCGCCATTCGGGTTTCGGCCGGGGGCCCCGCCGGCGCGGTGGTTGGGCTGGTAGAGGGAGCTGCTCGTCGAGTCGGTTTTGCGTACGTCCACCGCMACAGACGGGTCGTAGATGTAGCTGTAAGACAGATAAACGCAGTGTGGATGCTTAATGCTGAAAGAGTTGTGCCAAATAGCTAAAAAAGCTCAAACTTGCCTTAAAACAGCTTTAAAAAGTAGCTGAAATAGCTTAAATTAGCACAAAGAAAGAAAGAGCACGTTATCACAAAAGGTGAATTTTGGAAGAAAAAAAAGCTAAAAATATGAAAACATCAGAAATGAGCAAAAAACAGCTGAAAGTAGAATAAAAAGCTTACAACAGCAGGACGAAGCACAAATTAGAATAGCAAAAAAAAAAGGCCAGAATGAAAGCTAAAAAGGCTAAAATCTGTAAAATAGAAGCTGAAATTAGCACAAAGAAATAAAAACAGTAAAACCAGAGCAAAAGGTAAAAAGTGAAGTAAAGATTTTGGGGGAAAAAAATGGCAGAAAAAGCTAAGCTTTTAAAAAAAACATTTCATAATAATGGTGTGGAGAGGACGGCTATAAGAGGAGAAGGGAGGCCATCAATAAAAAAAGAAAAAAAGAAAAAGCTAAGTATTGCAAAAGCTTAAGTTGCTGAAATACCAAAGGTCAAAGCAGGAATGTCCTGAAGGAGCTGAACATTTTGATATATAAATTGTTAAAATAGAAGAAAAATTGCAAAACAAAAAAAATCGTAGAGAACCAAACTGGATCTCAGTAGTGTGTATGTTTATCAAGAGTTCACACAGACAGAACAGTCATTTAGCTACTTACAGATTTACACGTCATCCTGACTGTAGCGGAAATATTCATTTAAAACGTTTTATATTGTAAGGCCCAGCCTGGCCGGGGTTTCAACCTGAGTTCTGTGTGTTATCAGTCATTATGGCCTGATTTCTGGAACCCAGAGACCTGTGGTTCTATTTGGACCRGGCTGCTCAGCCACAGCAACATACAGCTGGTAAAATAAGTATTGAACACGTCACCATTTTTCTCAGTAAATATATTACTAGAGGTGCTAATGACATGAAATTTTCACCAGAT